AAAGACAACACATGGTTCTTGATATATTTCCTGGAGAGAACTATCAGCACGAGCAGCGTAATAGAGCAAATTTCTATCAAACATATCTTTATGAACCATCGGATTCTCTGGAATGTACATACGTAGCTGTCTTTCTTCACACATCCTTTAAGAACAAAATTCAAACATGTCAAACTATTGCTCCGCTGTTCATATTTATAGTATCAAAGATTGGATTCATACCATTCACCTGAAATAAATGAATACTTGAGCGATTCTTCAGCTATAGGAGAAATAGCATAAAATGGAACACCGCCAAGTCCTCTGGAATTTAAATGTCTCCCAAGATAATCTAGCACGTCAAACATTATACCATTAAGGACACAGGGAATTAAGACGTTTCCCTTATTCGCTAAAACGTCCCCTAGAATATAATTCGAATTATAAAAACAAAAAATACCAACGAAGACAAAAGTACAGAAAAGAGGTAGCAAACCTGCATAATTTCCAATATCACGTAACATAGGTAAAATAGATTCTAATCTAACATCACCTTCACTATGTGATTCGCACAAATCACTAAAGATAACGACATCAACGTCATTCAATACAGATTTGTTAAATGGCAATGGATGAATATCAGTTATTATGGAAGAGGAGGATATCATCGCAATCTATTAATTATGAATATTTGACATTTGATATTATTCTGAGCACAAAACGTATTATAAATACATATATATATGCTAACATAGTTACTTTTTCAGTATCACAAATTATCGACCAATTAGCACTGCCTAAACAATATCCAGCGCTATGTGCAGTAACTTCAACTCCGTATAAATCCTAAAATGAATATAGTATGTTAGCAAATAAAGCAGCAAATATGACAATAATCAGCTAACATTAATTATACATACAAGATTTTCACCATATCGAACAGGCTGTATCTTATCAACACATGATTGCACATCTGATATTGTGTATAAAGATTGGGCCAAGTTACTCTCAGCAGTGAAACCATAAA